GAATATGTTGTAGCAAAAAATAGAGGTATTAATGGATGGTTATCGACTTACCTTGTATGTGAATTTAACCCACTTTTCTTCTGACACCTACCAGATCATGCAAATGATACTAACAATATCTACAATAAATAGAAAAGAAATAATTTAAGGGATATTGTTATAGATTTTTGAAGCATGAACAGTAAGTTCAAAACATTTACCATATGTCGTCTACCTCGGAAAATTTTCTGAGATCGGGTACCTCTTTGTGATTGAGTTATAAATTGACGTATTAAATTTTCCATATTTCTTCAGCTTGAACTTCCGTATTTGTTTTTCGACAATTAGGTATCTGTTCTCATTGTCCGGTGCCCTTGTAATACTCAACGTTGTGCCTTGTTATGCTCTTGATGGTCAATGGATTTTGAAAGCGTTTTTGGATTTATTTCTTCCAGGCATATTACCATCGCGCCCGAAAAGGAATATGGTTTTTACTATTGTTCTCATCCTTGGTAGTAGCCTTTTGGGACTAAATCTGTTTCTCGCAATTTTGTACCTATGTCTTCAGGCTAACTACATAGGTGGTCTGCCGAATTCCATAAGTCCAATAACTTCTGTTAATACCTGAGTAAAATTTCATGCGTTTAATTGTAAAAAGTCCAAAACTGTGATTCGTCACTCAGTATATTTTATCTTTTTGCTGTCTGTGCCTTTATAAATCTATTTTCTACTGAGTCAGGGTACAAACCTTTCTTTCTTTTTCCTAAGTATACATAGTTTCCTTAACTTTATCTTATATCCGGTGCGTCTCGAAAAGATTGTTCATTCTATCTCATTCCTGAAACTGGACAGGTACGTAACTCTTTCTGTTTATCGTTGTGTTATCGAATCGCATCGAAATTGTGCTGCACACGATAGCTTCTGTGCCTGAATGTTAAGCAAAATGAGATTCATAGGAATTCATAACTGTTACCCTAGAAATACATGCCTTAGTCATATTAGTCTTTAGTATGTATATTTTATTCAAGTTGACGCATCAGACTGAACACATTTGTCCATGTGTAGTCTTCGTAAGGGCGTGTTTGTCTCATAGTCTAAAATCTTCAGTATTACTTTGTAGACAGTAAAGTTATGCAAATGATCTACAGAGTAACTAATAAGCAGCAATAAGGGTAATGTGGTCTATAAATACAATGTAATCACCACTCACTTAACATTTGGTCATGTTTTGGTATGGTTTTCTATTGAATGTATTTTACTCATCCTTGACGTACATTCAATAAAAGAACGCGTCCTATGACGTAGATTTTAATCGCCTAAGAGAAAGTCCGTGTTATAAATGCTGGTTTTTGATTAAATGTATTCCTACACCGGTTTGTCTTCTTACCAGTCAAGATCTAGGTTGAAAATGTTGCAGGTACAGTGTCGAAGCTAAATCATAACTTCCATTACTGTTAATATTTTTCAACTGCGTAGCCAATTGTAAGGTACATCAGTGACCACGCTGTGTATGTATTTATTTATTTGAACATAAATTTTGGTACAAGAGGGCATCAAACATACGTGCGCCACACAAAACAATGAGAATGAAGAGAGAGAGAGAGAAAAAAACAATAACGACCAGATTAGTGTAAGGAAGTGTAATAATAATAATAATAATAATGGTGGAAACGTAAAGGTACAACCAGAAGAAATCTTTCAGTTAAGGAAGATACAACCACTTTTTATGAAGAAAGTAAAATAAATTTACAGCACGATATCCACTGGCTTCTATTCTGAGCCTTATCTAATAACGTCTCTAGCCACTTTGTTGCACCATCTCTCGGCCCCCAACCAGGGAGTCGTGAAGGACCAACAGAAGCCAGTCCTTTGAAGCTTTCTTTCATACCACGACACCATGTCATACACTGACCACCTCTCCACTTTTTCCAGCTGTGTATGTATGCTGGAAATTGGTCATGCCTGGTTTGTCATTAGGGTCTTGATCGATGACATCTTGGGATGCTTCGAGATATTAAGCCGTAGCCTCCTAATCTTATTATTCCGCTGAGATGGATGTTAATGAGAGATATTGCTTGCGGTGTAATCTTCACCTACTTATCAAGTGGTTGTGGACGGAATAGAAGAAGCTTTCGCTTAACAGGCTTCCGTGTCTAGTAGCAGGGGATCACCAGTACCTCCAGGCAAGAACCTAGGTATATTAACGATAAAAGAGAAAAAAGAAGCTGGTAAATCATAGTAAGATACCATCGTTAGTCCTTACGAATAGATCAAGTCGCCTCTTAAGGGACTCCTGGGAAGTTGCTTGAACTAGCTCAGCCGGCAGCGAGTTTCAGCTTTGACAACTCTTAAGGATTAAAAGTTGTGACTGCAGTCTGTTCTACCATGTTGTTTCTCTAATTTCTGGGTGTTACCCCTTAAGTTAGTGTTGGGACTAAGCTTAAGTAGGTGTTTAAGAGGATGTCCAAGAGTCTTAAGGATACTGTAAGCCATTAGAAGGTCACCTCTAAGACGCCTATAATCCAATGGGTAAAGGTCAAGTGACTAGAGGCGCTCATCGTAAGGTTTAAATTTGAGTCCATGGACTGATTTCGTGGCTCTTCGTTGGATATGCTTCAGAGTGTCCTTATCATTTTGGAGTGTAGGAGGGAATACTATGTTTCCGTACTCTAAATGGGGACGAATGAAACTATTGAAGATTATGTGGAAAGTTCTCCCGTCAAACAGACCAAAAATACGCTTCAATGTTACCAGTGCAAGGTTTGCTCGAAAGGCATTTCTGTCACAGTTGGCGTAAGACTAAGTCGTAGAGTACCAGGAATCCTACATCTTTTTCGACTCGGAATACTACTAGAGAGGAGTTTCCTAAGTTGTAACTGTAATCTGCGACGTGTCGCAGATGGACTACTTTACACTTTGAAGTGTTAAAGGTAAGTCTGTTGTCGTCTGCCCAACTTTGAAGTCGAGCCAGATCCTCCTGAAGTGCGTGCATATCCTCTCGGTTGCGTATCTCTCTCCAAAGCTTCACGTCATCGGCAAAGAGCAATATATCTGACGTTACCTGTTGAGGAAGATCATTTATATAAATCAGGAAGAGAAGAGGTCATAGTACTGAGCCCTGGGGGACCCCACTAGGACATTCTATAGTGTGTGATGAATTGAAGTTTACCCTAACGTTAAAATGTCGATTTGTCAGATATGAACTGAGCCAGTCATCAAAGACGTTCATAAACATAGACTAAGTAACCACTAAAGTCGTGTTTTCCTTCGGTCGATATGTTCATCTTCGTTCTGCATCCGCTCTTTCGAGTAATTATAACCCATAATGCTTAGTATCTGCCTTTGGTCTTGCGATGTATTGGTTGTTTGTTATTCCTGGGAATAAACTGATTATCGTGAGTAGTGTACCTCAGTTTATGTGATCTAGTGTGTGGATCTATCATTCAGTGCCACGATTTATCTAAAGTGATCCTACTTTGCGCATAAATATCTTAGCAACTTAGTTTCTGTTAGGACCATTTTGGAATCTACTTAAGTAGGAAATCATTCTTCTAAAAAATTTTGTTTCCCTATCACTGCGATTACGTCGGAAAATATGAAGGGAAACTTGTAGTACCTCTTTCCAATGTACTATGCTGTGCTTCGGGTACTCCAATGTGAAAACTTTCCTTGGGGGAAGAGATTCTGGAATTCATATCGACGTGCATTATTTCAGCGAAACGAAAGGAAGATGAAATACAAATAGCGGACGTTTCCGTGAAATGCCACCAAAAGTCATTTATTTATAATGGGATGAGCTGATATATACGTTACTGCTTCAGACGTAGCCAAAGGTTCACAATAATAACAATTGGCGGGAAACATGAGTAAATAAATACCCATATTATCATGAAGAATTCGTGCAATCTTTACGCTGATTTTTCATTGAGTTATTCGTTGAACGGTTGCAAAGTTATCTAAGTTACTTAGACCTGATGGGTCACAATAGATGTTCATTTTCCCAGTCATTTCTCAATATACCCATATCCCTTTTGTGACGGAGCAGTCTGAGTTAAACAGGTCGTGGGGATTTCATTTTGTAGACTAGCCTGCAGAGTTTTGACGATATCTAATGACTCTAATACATCTTGGAATGCCCACTTTACTAACATCCGTCTTCGAGCAGTGTTAATAGTCTATCTATTTGATGGTAGTGTAAGAAATTCCGAAGTCACACTGAGTAATTGTTGGCTTGGTAATGCCATATGAAAATCCCTATAATGAGTGCATGGAAGGTTTTACTTGGAATGTATTACATGTTGCCATGAAGAGTGTCGTTATCATTTTGGAACCACTAAGGTTAACCAAGACTACATGGATCGTCCAGGAAACGTATGATCCCAACGATTTTGATTTGAGCATCGTGGTAAGCATTTCTTGCTGAACATCTTCACATTTTTCAGTAGTGCCTAGAGAGCTCACATACTTTAAGTAGATTGTTTAAAAGGACTTAAGATGCTACCATGCAGAAATTTTATCATTCATGACCAGTACACTTTTGAACTGGCAGTATTGACGGTAAGACTAAGCTGAACCGGCGCATTACACCAGAAAGTTTAAGTAAATTTCTGACTAATCCACCCTCAATTTAATGTAGAAGCTCATTGAGATTTCTTACTGTCCTGGATATGATAAACTATAAAACAGTTACGAGAACCTCCGACCCATAATTTGACTTGCTATGTGTAACACATAACTAAGAATTATTTTTCAGTCTCAGGGCGACGTAATTCCCGTATTACTATTTCAGATGCTTAACCATAAATTAAACGGTTGGTACTTGATAACGGCAACAAAATAAGTTCATTTGATAAAATTATCCATATGTAATCCTTTTTTACAAGATTCGAGAGCCTGTTGATTAAAAGCTTCTTCCGATGCGTTCACAACTATTTGGTTAATATAGATCAACTTTCGATTCCTGCCACTGAATATTGATGAGGTGAGTTTGGGCACTCAAGGTCAACTGCTGCTGTATTGGAATGTCGGTACGTCAACTGCATGTTCTTATCACTATAGCTAGGAAGATATTGAAGTAACACATGAGGACCAACAAAGGATAAACAGCTTTGCAACGTGGAACTTAAAATTTAAAGATTTTACATCAGATTACGACCAGAAAAAAGTGTGAATAGATTTTGTTCTGTATGTAATCATGAATTTTAGAAGGAGCTGGCAAATCTTAATGATGCTGAGGACGAATTAGTTGTTGCCGAAGAGAGCTTACACCCGTATCCTCTTAACGTCCGTTATATTTTTGATTTTATCCCTGTATGTACATAAATTTAGTATTTATAGTGATTGATATCAATCACATACATATGTATTGAACCATACACTAACCTCAATAAGAACTGCAAATCATAGTTGTTATTCTGGTTTGCTTCTTCAAATACCTTCCAGCTACCATCTAACTTGTCGCAGTTATCTAAAAACGCGCTTTACGAATGGAAAGTTTAGTCCTAATGTAATTTGCTAGTTTTAATATATCCTGAACTCGTGTACCATCTGTTTATCCACTCTACTCTCTCTGTGTATTCCTTTTTGTTTTTTGGTCATAAAATTTTGCTAGGATCTATCTAACAACCCACATTTCACCATGGTCATGATGAACTCGTGTAAGCGACCTGGGTGCTGTTTCATTGTCACCTGTTACATATAATGTGACAAATGCAAATGCGTTAAGGCGCATTTTTGGCCAGTTCGATGGCAAAACTTTCCACTTAGTCTTTAGCAGTTTTATTCGACCCCACTTAGAGTATGAAAACGTAGTGCTTCCTCTCACTCTGAAACGATACATAGAAATGTATCCAACGGCGAGCCACGCAATCAGTTTGGGGACTTAAACTCAAGCCTTATGACGAGCGCCTCAAATTACCGAACCTTTACGCATTAGAGTATAGGCGTCGCAGAAATGACCTAGTGACTTATAGCATCTCAAGCCCTACTGGAAGCTCCTTTAACTACCTACTTAAGCTCAATCCTAACACAAACCTTCGGGTTAACACTCAGAAATTAGAGATACGTAGCATAATGGGTTGTAGGCACACCTTTTGGTATCTGATGCGAGATGAGGTAGTCAAAGTGCCTTACCATGAGTTCTTTAAGATGAAACCCGGTCTATCTTAAGGAGTAAGGACAGTATCTCGCTATAACTTACTAATATCTTTCTTTTTGTTAAATATACCTAGGTTCCTACCTGGAGACGCCGGTGATCCACTGTTGCTAGATACGGAAGCCTGTTAAGCGAAAGCCTTTATTTCGTTTAGAACCATTTAGTTATAAGTCACACTTTATGTCTATGTTGATCCTGCGCTCAGTTCTAAGTTTGTGTAGAACCTTGCTTATATTAGTTTGTGATATGTAACATACGTTCTAACCGTCAAAAATCACTGGATCAATACTATTTAAAACCTTGTTCTCAAAGCTTAGGAGAGCTCACTTGGATTATTATAACCATTTCAATAATTATCTATGTGGGGTATTAGAAGCGAAACAGATGTACGGTAGCTCCTTCGCGATGTTCTGTCATGTTCGGATCATGACGTACGACACCTAGTCTCATTGTTCCAAGATTTGCAGAAGTCCCAGAAGTAGCATATTTCGTGATTTCACGTTCGAAAATATACTTATGGAAACTGAAGACACCTTTAGTAGTTAACTTGTGTGTTCTCCGACATATCACGCCCTAATTTACATTCACTTTTTCTATCATTGCCTACGAGGGTACTACTTCACACTGTATACAATCGCAAAATCGTTGCATAGATCATGAATAAGTCACTAATAGCTTGTCTAAAATTACTAAGCTTATTTTCATGCAGGTTGTTCGTTACCTTCGACTATCATCTATTTTCCTTCTTTAAAGGGACTTCTAAGCACTAATTGTAAACAGCCCCCAAAGTTGGGAAAGAGTATCATCAAAACAATACGCGGCTCTATTCTATCACATCTGATCAATAGTGGTCATGTAGTGAACAAAAACAAATCGTTTGAAGTAATTTATTATATACCTACTTGTTTCCCTTATTCGTTTCGACCTCATCCCTTACACATACCAGGGGCTATAGAGATTCGAGTCAACAATCTGAAATTTGTAAAACCCTCACCTCCTCTTTGGGACAATTACTACTTTAGTTATGATTTTCCATACTCTTTGTTCGTTTACTTACTTTCACCATCTTTTTTTCAAATATACGCTCCAATTATAAAGCACTTCTAGTTATGCAATTTTATTATTTTAATGAACGTTATCTGTGTCCATTCTTTCAAGTCGTCGGCCTAATTTGTACCATGAAACATTGGTCCAAGCCTTTATTATTCGTATCACAACTAGTACACCTGTCATTTTTACTTGCCCTGGATTGGGACCGGCAGTAGCCCCCCGAAAAAGACTCCAGGCGGAGTTATGTATCCACGTAAGGCCACTTATTTTGTTGATTCATATTATTATGCTTTACTAATAGATATCTATCATATAATTAACTAAAACAACCTTAAAAGCTGAAAAGATATCTTATTGGGGAAACATTTTTCCACTTGTCAAATGATGAAGTTGGAGAAGAGCTTTCAGCAGCCAAAGAAAAAGTGAAATTGCGAATGGTGGACCTCGAAGAACGCATCAGCGACTGCAAAGTTCACATGAACAATTTAAAGAAAGATCTTTATGGCAAATTTGGAAACCATATTAATCTCGAAGAGGACTAGTATAGTGCTGCTTTCGAAGAGTATCAACCAGTACACTACGAGAGCCCGCGTATATATTGGAGCCAAACTAGTTATCTGTATCAGTTGTATTTCTAATAAACAATTCTAAAAAAAATACAGTTATGGTAAGGCAGCAAAGAGAAAGCAGAGATATAAATGGCAGTGGAGTTTCTTCGAAATAATTTAAATTAAGGGGTTAAAAATGAGTCATCGTTTATGAAGTTTGTATGTTTAGTTTTGAGCGCATCCAAAAATAAGTTTATTCAAATCTCGGAAAGACAAAAAGTGTAACTATTGAATGCATGATAGTATGATAAATGCAAAGAAACACGCCATATACAACTGCTAAAAGGTGTAACAAGATTAGTGACTTTTGACTGGTAGTTAATAAACTAAAAGTATAGTTTTAATAGTATTCCTTAACAACATTCACATATTATTAAAAGCAATGAATTGTGGCCTGGAAGCTTTTATAGAAGGTGCCAAGCGGCTGGATCCTGTGTACCACCAAAGATTTGAGGAGTTGACAGACGCTTTTCGCAAACTGTCTGATTTAGGATGATGATGCATACGGGAACTTTCAGAGGATTTCGAGAAATTAGATTGTATAAAAGAACCAGATATGAAAGGGCGATGTAGTCCTTCTACAAACCCACTATCTCGCATAGTAGATGTCCGGCCGCTGTGTTGCATAGAAAATTCCGAGCCATCCTTTGAAAAGTTACGCACCAGTGTAGGAGGTGAAGTAATTACACGTGGTACTGACTTAATACCGCGGTTTTGACCTAGAAAATGATTTTTCGAAAAAGATACTGAGCTAACAGTTAAGGATGCTACTGAGTGGTTCCCATGAATGCCTTTTTGAGAGAACAAATGTAATTGTTTGCTTGGACAACTCAATCGTTTTATGCCACCTTTACCGTTGATTTCTGCATTCAAAATCCCTGAAGAGAACGGTGCTTCCATGCATGAACTGCAATTTTTTACAATTTGGTTGTTAGTTTTGTTCGATTTTCCCCCATCCGACAAACTAAAGCATCTTCGTAAGTTGCTAGGAGAAAAGCTGTGGTGAGATATCGCATGGATTTTGGGTGGTCGATTTGCAGGATGACTAGAAACATAATACTCATCTTTAGCAGTTTTTGTCGCTCGAGATGTCTTAGCTTTCTGAGAATGCATAATTTGATCTTCAACACATGAGAGTTGACTGGGAAGCCTAGAAAGCTGAAGATGTTGAAATCGATCCAAAAGCCACTTCAAAAAACCTGGGGAATGAACTGAATTGTGGACGATTAGAATAATCGTGGCATACAATTAGGTAAAAATTAATCATTTCAAAATTCAAAAAACTTGATATTTTTCTAAATGATAACGTGGAGTTTCATACAGTTGTATACAACAAGGATTATGAGTTTCGAAGTCGAACGAAATTGTTATTGTCAAATGGCAACCATGAGTTCCTTAGGTTTTGTGGTAACCAAATTATCGTGCGATCGATTGGATAGGATTTATATAAATATATAAGAGCGAAACGCTGACAAGTTAAAAGCATAGAAAGACCGCGTGATTGTGTAACAGCTTAGGTTGGTTGTCAAGAGTTAATCTCAAGCAACTAAGCATATATGAAAACAGCATAATTCAGATATTTATTCACTTCTTTATTTTGTTTAGGCCCCCACCGTAGCTGCTACCTTGACGTGGTGGTCGGGCTTGCCTATCGTGATGACCCAACCGAGCTATATTGGCTGGAACTCAAGTTCCTGCAGGTTCTACTATGCCAGGCAGGTCGATTGGAGAACGGTGAGACTAAAAGCAGCAACTCAAGGTCTGAGGGCGAAGTCGTACTGCTGACTGTACAGAGGTGTGACAGCAGTAAGGTGTTTCCCTCGGACAACCAGCATCTGCAGCGATGCTGCCTTCTCACAAGGAAGGAAGGGGTTAGAAAAGGTTGACCCTAAGAATGTCACACCTCACCTTACCCCACGGATTTCCGTCTCCGGCGGTAAGGCCCTTTGAAGAACGGAGCTAACACATTAAAAACCTCCCACAAAAAGGCCGTGCGCGACCGGCCTCAAGCAGTTGTCCCTTGGGCTCTGCGGTCACGCACTCAGGTCGCTAAGACCAACACTAATCCGGTTTCCTTTTCAGGTCCCTCAAGAAATACCCTTCCACGGTGTGGGCAACCGGGAAGTGATATCAGCCCTCATACCCGTAACAGCACACGAGACCAAGTTGGTCACATTCAAATCCTTCCTACACCTCCTAATAACTCTCTTATCTCCACGACTAACCCTTCTTACGTCCCTTTATCACCTCGCCCCGCTAGTGCGAACGATTCGAGTACGCGGAATGTTATTCCTGGTCTCCTGAAACCACGCTCCAAACTACACGTAGGAGCTTTCAACGTCCGAACACTGTGCCAAATAGGACAACAGGCTTCCTTAGCTAAGACTTTAGAATCTCGCTCCATCGATGTGTGCTGCGTCTCCGAAACGCGCACACAGGATCCTAGTAGTGTCATTCATTTGACTGCACCATATCAAAGTAACGAACCAACTCGATTTACGCTTCGTGTATCTGGAAGCCCTGATGCTGCATCCCGTGGCCTCGCTGGCGTAGGTATAGCATTGAGTCCTAGGGCAGAACTAGCTCTCTTAGTCTGGATCCCAGTAGACAGTCGTTTGTGTGCTGCCCGACTAAACGGAACAGTGAGGACTCGAAAAGATAGGGACACTCGTCGTTGCCTGTTCGTCGTCTCTGCCTACTCTCCCACTGACTGCAGCTCAGATGATGTAAAAGATGAATTTTACAGAAAGCTTTCCAACCTTCTCCGAAAAGCTAGGCGTTCAGATGTAGTAATAGTGGCTGGTGACTTTATTGCTCAAGTAGGTAAACTAAGCGAAAAGGAAAGACACCTGGGTGGATCTTATGGTGTCGCGGTTCAAAGAACAGATAACGGCGACTGTCTGTTGCAGCTATGCTCAGATAACCGCCTGTTTCTTGCAAACACTAACTTTAAGCATAAGGAAAAACATCTTTTAACATGGCGACCCCCTAATTCGTCTCAACGCTGGACCCAAATAGATCACATCGCTATCAGCCACCGATGGAGGGGCTCGATAGAAGACTGTCGCTCATTCTGGAGCACATGTTTAGACTCAGATCATACTCTAGTGCGATCGCGCATTTGTCTACGTCTTACTGGACGTAGGAAAGATGGTGCAAGGAAACCCCTTAGGGTCCTACTAAATGATAGTCAAGCTAAGAGTATATTTCAGGAACATCTAGGAAAACAGTTAGGCAGCCATGTAAGTGATACCCACCCCGAGGCAGCATGGAATGACATCCGAAAAGCTGTAGAAGCAGCAGTGATGTCTGCAAGTACGGTAAACCATAACATTAGGGAGAAACACTGGATCTCAGCAGCATCTACCGCACTGATAGATGCTCGAAAACTAATTCCATCTGGCTCTGAACATAACGAAGAGCGGAGTCAGCTTAAGCGTAAGCTGACTAGAAGCCTACGCAAAGATCGTGAACAGTGGTGGGTAGCGAAAGCAAGAGAGATGGAAAAGGCAGCGGCAATAGGTAACAGCAGGCAACTGTTCAGACTTGTTAAGGAAACCGGTATTAGGAACCCAACTGTTAGCGAAACAATCGCAGAGAAAGATGGACATATTATTCATTCTCAATTCAGGAGATTGGATCGATGGGCAGAACACTTTAGGGATCAGTTCAACTGGCCTTCAGCCACACTTCGGTTTCCCACGATCTCCAGTCGACCTGAATGGCAAGTTGATGTAAGTCCTCCGACTCTTTACGAAGTTGAAAAAGCTATAGGAAATCTGAAGCGTGGGAGAGCAGCAGGCCCTGACAGGTTTACCCCTGAGATTTTTAAGGATGGTGGTCCAGTATTAGCAGCGAGATTGACTGAGGTCTTAGGTAGAATCTGGGGATTGGACGTAATCCCATCTGACTGGTCTCAATCATTGATTGTACCAGTCTATAAGAAAGGACAAAAGTCCTTCTGTGACAATCACAGAGGAATTAGCTTGACTAATATAGTGTCTAAAATATTAGCTTCAATAATACTTCGACGTCTAACCAAAGCTCGTGAAGAGCAGACTAGAGAAAACCAGGCTGGTTTTCGACCTGGACGTGGTTGTATTGATCAAATATTCACACTACGTCAGGTCCTAGAACATAAACACACATTCAGACGTCCCACAATCGTAGTATTTCTCGACCTTAAGGCGGCATTTGACTCTGTTGATCGTGAGGTTCTACGGCAGTGTTTGTCACTGAATGGAGTACCAAAGAAGTACATTAATCTTATGAAGGCTCTCTACTCGAACACAACTGGTCGAGTGAGAGCTTATGATGAACTGTCATCAGAATCGATTACCTCAAGTGGTGTTCGTCAGGGCTGTCCACTCTCTCCATTCTTGTTTAACTATGTCGTTGACGTCCTTTTAGAGATGACACTTTCCTCATCTAAATTTCTAGGAGTTGAACTTCTACCGGGAGATCCACTTGTTGACTTAGAATATGCCGATGACATAGTTCTATTTGGTGAAGACGCTGACAAAATGCAGAGTCTGCTGACCACTCTAAGCAACAATGCAAGCATGTTCGGCATGCGATTTTCTCCCTCAAAATGCAAAATGTTGCTTCAGGATTGGGTTGCACCAACACCCGAACTAGTGATAGGGAGTGAAGTAGTTGAGCGTGTCGACCGCTTCACTTATCTCGGAAGTCTCATCAGCCCTTGTGGTTTGGTGTGTGACGAAATCTCAGCACGGATACAAAAGGCTCGACTAGCTTTTGCCAACTTGCGTCATTTGTGGCGTAGGCGAGATATCCGTCTATCAACCAAAGGACGTGTTTACTGCGCAGCAGTTCGTTCCGTCCTACTTTATGGCAGTGAAACATGGCCGGTAAGAGTAGAGGATATTCGTAGGTTACTAGTATTTGACCATAGATGTCTTCGAAACATTGCTCGTATATCCTGGGACCGACGAGTAAGTAACTCAGTTGTTAGGAAACGGGTACAAGGTAAGGATGACAAATCAATTGATGAAGTATTGAAACTTCATCAGTTGAGATGGCTGGGACATGTGTTGCGCATGCCCGACCACCGACTGCCCCGACGTGCTATGTTTTATGGTGTTGTAGGAGTAGGTTGGAAGAAAGCTAGGGGCGGCCAGACCAAAACATGGCACAAATCCATGAAGTCACTGACAAGTGGACTGAGTCATGTTGGTAGGTGTAGACTACCTGGTTGGGGACCGCGAGATGATAGCAACCGATGGTTAGAGATCTTGAATGACATGGCTCAAAATCGTTCGCAATGGCACAGGTGCATCCACTCTTTGTGTTCTCTCAAACTCTAATCTTCTGAATTCTTCATGTCCTTTATTTTCTTTCCCAATTTATTCCACTGGACTATACTCCTTTAATAACATCATCAAACCTTAATGTCCCCTATCTCTACTTATACTTTCAGTACCTCTACCACTATGGGATTTGAATCGATAACTGAATCTCTGTGCTAATGTGGTATGGCAACTCGAACTGATGTATGTACGTACGAAGTTCCACGTTGTTACTGACTGACTGACTTTTGTTTAGGCGTTATATTTCTATCTATCTTATATTGCTTGTTGAGAGGTTTTGTTTGTCTGAGTAAGGAACCCCATGCTCCACTGTGACTGCGTGAAGATCAAAATAAAGACCTATTTTCCTTCGAGTCTGGTTTCTTCTATTAATAACGCGAGGGTTACCAAAAGGCACGAAACTGGTGAGCCCTGTGAAACACAAATTTGATTTCATTGTTGATTAATAAAGTTTTTTTGGTTTTACTTAGTCGTAAAAGTAGACCTTCTGATCATCGGTAAACATAGTCTGGTATATATATATCTATGCATAGTTTTTTTTATTATTTTCTTAAGGTATTCGTGCTGTAGTAACCATCTTTCGTGCTAAGTTTATTGCTATATTGTTCATATACTTCATGTCGGACTCAATACAAACCCAAAACCTGGAGGATTTGTCACCAGTGGAGATAGACACTGTTATGACTACGAAATCCCGACTTCCAGAATTTGATTGTAGTGATCCTGAGTTGTGGTTTGCTCAACTAGAGCATTATTTCACGAGACATAATATCAAATCCGAAG